GACATCAAATCTTCTCCTACCTTCAGATAACCTTATAAAAGGTCAAAGGTCACATCCAAACCACACCAGAAGCTCGTCTCCGACTTTCAGAAAGAAGAGAAAATATTTTCAAATAAAGTTCAAGTGGAAAAAAAATCGTTTAATCCTCGTCGTCGACGGTCATCACGAAAAAAAAAGAGAAAATAAAAAAGTTTTTGTTAAAAAAAAGGAAAAAAAGAGTTTTTAAAGAAGAGAAGAGAAAGAGTTTTCCAACGGTCCGACGAGTTTCTGAACGAGAAGAAGGAGAAGAAGGAGAGGAGGGAGAAGAACGACGACGGACTGAGAGGGAGAGAGAGAGAGAAAGAGAGAGAGAGAGAAGAGGGAGCCGAACAACGACAGACTGAGAGAAAGGGAGAGAGAGATAGACGAGTGATTCCAGCACTCAGGGAGAAAGTGTGTGTCTGTGTGTCTGTCTGTGTGTCTGTGTGTGTGTGTCTGTGTGTGTCTGTGTGTGTGGGGGGGGTTGACACACTCTCTCACTTCTTTATTTTGACCGTCACTCTTTTTTTTTCGTCAGTTTCTTTTTTGTCGGTTTTGAGGAAAATCGTCATTTTCACTGAATTGTAACATTTTCAAGAATTGAGGCGTCACGTGTGTCCAAACTCTCTCTGTATGTAAACATATATATCTATATTTATACTTATATTTATATTTATATTTATATGTTTATATTTATTTATATATTTATATTTTTATATTTATATTTATTTATATTTATATATTTATATATATTTATTTGTATATTTATATTTATTTATATATTTATATTTATATTTTTATATTTATATTTATTAATATTTATATTTATATTTATTTATATATTTAGATTTTTATATTTATATTTATTTATATTTATATATTTTTTTATATTCATTTGCATATTTATATTTATATTTATATTTATTTATATATTTAGATTTTTATATTTATATTTATATTTATATTATTTGTATATTTATATTTATTTATATATTTATAGTTTAATATCCATTTGTATATTTTTATTTTTATATTTATTTATATTTATATTTATATTTATTTATATATTTATATTTTTATATTTTTATATTTATATTTATTTATATTTTTATATTTTTATATTTATATTTATTTGTATATTTATATTTTTATATTTATGTTTATCTATATATTTATATTTTTATATTTATATTTATTTATATATTTATATTTATTTGTGTATTTATATTTTTTTATTTATATTTATTTATATATTTATATTTTTATATTTATATATATTTTTATATTTATATTTATTTGTATATTTATATTTTTATTTTTATATTTATTTATATTTTTATATTTTTATATTTATATATATTTATATTTTTATATTTATATTTATTTGTATATTTATATTTATTTGTATATTTATATTTTTATATTTATATTTATTTATATTTTTATATTTTTATATTTATATTTATTTATATTTTTATATTTATATTTATTTGTATATTAGTAAAGCGCCGTGTTGTCTGTAGAATTGTGTTTGAGCTCCTCTCAGACTGTCCGATAAACTAAAAACATTTTTTTGTTCAAAGCTCCAAAATAACAAACATGAACCTTTTCTAAACTCCGTCTGCAGAACTCTGAATCTTCCACTCTGATCCAGCAGGTGGCGCCACAGCGCTTCACCCATGGATGCAGAGTGATGGTGAACAATAACTGTCATGAAAAGGTTGTTTTTTTATTTCTTATTTTATTTCTTAAGTTTCTGTAGAAATTAGAGTAAAAATTTTTTTTACCAACAATAATTAAAATGTCTGAAAAAAAACAGAAAAGCTCAAAAGAAAAAAACTAAAAGAAAAGGAAAAACATTTTTGTCTCATTTATTTTATTTATAACTTTGAATAAAATTTTATCTTCTGTTTATTTTCTAAATGTTCTTTTTTTATTGGTGATCGATTTTTTCTCAGATTTATGTTTTTATTTCTGATTTTTGACGCTTTAACAAAGAGTCAGTTACAGAACTCACCAGCAGAGGGCGCTCACACCAAGAAAAACAACAGCCCCTGATTGGACACACCAGGGGCAGGTCTCCCTCTCTCTCTCTCTCTCTCTCTCTTTCTCTCTCTCTCTTTCTCTCTGTATCTCCCTCCCCCTCCCTCCCTCTCTCCCCCTCCCTCTCTCTCTCTCTTTCTCTCTCTCTCTCATCTCCCTCCCTCTCTCCCCCTCCCTCTCTCTAATCTCCCTCTCTTTCTCTCTCCCTCCCCCTTCCTCTCTCTCTCTCTCCCTTCTCTCCTCCCCCACTCACAGACTCAGACCCTCAGAGTCTTCAGGACTCAAACACCGACCTGTCGTCCGTCCGTCCGTTCGTCTCTCTGACTTCGAGGATCGAAATGAAGAAATTTGGCAGATTCAGATTTTGGTTTCTTCTTTCAGTGAGTTTTAAAAAAAATTCATTTTTTCTTTAAATTCATTTTATTTTCATCTTCAGTCTGTTTTTATATTCACTCGTTTGTTGGTGAAATTTTTTATTTTCTTGTATTTTTTTATTTTCTTGTATTTTTTATTTTCTTGTATTTTTTTATTTTCTTGTATTTTTTATTTTCTTGTATTTTTCATTTTCTTGTATTTTTTATTTTCTTGTATTTTTTTATTTTCTTGTATTTTTTATTTTCTTGGTTTAAATTGAAGGAGATTTAAAAGTTTTTCTAAATTAAAAGGAAAATTAAATCTTACATTTCTTCCCCGACATGAACTCGTGTGTCTGATGATCATTTTTAACTTGTTTCTTCTTTCAGGGTTAATTAAAGACGGAGTTTATTAATAAAAGTCGATTTTTAATTTTCTCACTAAAACGTTTTTATTGAAATGAATTTAAGATTTTTATCGTTTATTTTTTATCTTCGTCTAAAAATCTAAAAGTTTTTAATCTTTAAACTAAATCGACGTTTTTATTGTTTCGATGTGAGTGTGTTTTTTTTTAACACGTGTGTGTGTGTGTGTGTGTGTGTGTGTGTGTTTGTGTGTGTGTTTGCAGGTGTGTGTTTGTTGTGTAGATCTGACGGCTTGTTGGCACGACCTCGACAACAGCGAGTACGACTGCTGGCCTTTAGATCGACCGAACGAGAACAACATGATCGACTGTGGAGGTGAGATCAGCTGATCAACACACACACACGCACACACACACAGACACGCACACAGACACACAAAGACACGCACACACACACAGACACACTCTGTCTCTGGTCCAGGGTTGGAGATGGCGTGGGTCGTCCGTCCTCCAGAGACCGTTAAGAGCGGCGAGGTTTTCAGCGTCACGTACTCGGTGACGGCGCGAGATTTTTTCTACCAGTGGGCCGTCGACAACGAGATCTTCACCAACAGGTTCCTGCTCTTTGTCCTGGTTTTACTGGTTTTACTGGTTTTGCTGGGTTCTAACGGAGCGGACCGGTCTGAACTGGTCCTGTTTTCTCGTCTTTAGCTCCGTCGTCGACGCGGCGGCGGCTCGCAGGTTTTGCGAACACCTGGACTGTCCGGCTCACTGGAAGGACGCCGACGGCGAGAACTGCTGCATCCATCACGCCAACATCCACTCCTGTCCGCTGGGATACATGGTTCGAACTTATGGTCACTGAGGAGGTCAAAGGTCAAAGAAGGTTTCAGCTGATCTGTTTGAAAAGGTCAAAGGTCAAACATGTTCAGGCAGGTTCAGATCTGCTGATCGGTTAATCAATGATCAATAAAATCAGATCGATATGATCAATACTCTCGTTTTAGAGGATTGATCAAAGAGAACCAAAGTCTAAAACGGTCCGACAGGAAACCGCCGAACACACCAGCTGGTACCTCAAACCGACCAATCAGCTTTCAGAGTTTGAATCGATCAGATTTTCATTAATTAAATCAAACGAACTTTCAGACGTCAGACAGCATCTGTGGACCGTGGATCCCCGACGACGGGAAGATCTTCACACACACCATCTCCACGGCGGGGAAGATGACCCAGAGAGACTGGACCGCCAAGGTGACGCACGACGCACACAGACACACAAATAACACACAACTCTGCTAACACACACAGACACACAAATAACACAACAACACAACTCTGCTAACACACACAGACACACAAAAACACAACAACACAACTCTGCTAACACACACAGACACACAAAACACAACTCTGCTAACACACACAGACACACAAAAACACAACAACTCTGCTAACACACACAGACACACAAAACACAACTCTGCTAACACACACAGACACACAAAAACACAACTCTGCTAACACACACAGACACACAAAAACACAACAACTCTGCTAACACACACAGACACACAGACACACAACTCTGCTAACACATACAGACACACAAAAACACACAATGAGGAGAACAGAAGTTTTTTATTATTATTATGATTTTAAAACTGAGATTTGGAATGTGAATAAATATGAATATAGAATAATTTTAATATATAATAATATAATATATGATAATATAATATAGAATAATATTAATATAGATTAGTGTAATATAGAATATTAATATAGATTAGTATAATATAGAATATTAATATAGATTAGTTTAATATAGAATATTAATATAGATTAGTTTAATATAGAATATTATAGATTAGTATAATATAGAATATTAATATAGATTAGTATAAAATAGAATATTGATATAGATTAGTATAATATAGAATATTGATATAGATTAAGTTCAGGTTTGTCAGCTGAAGAAAATTTCGCTTTAATCTTGTAATTTAAAGAAATCGTTTCAGTTTAAAAGGATAAAAAGTTTTTCTTTTATAGGTTTGGATTCAATGAACTTCATTGTTTTTTCAGTTCAAAAGGATAAAAAGTTTGAATAGTTTTGGGTTTAATGATTTTATGAACTTTATTGTTTCTTCAGTTTATTTTGAAGCTTTCGATGGTTTGTTATGGTGTTTGAAAACTGAGATGGTTTTATTTTGAAAATCTCATTTAAATAATAATAATAATAATAATTTAAATAATGATAATAATAATAATAATAATAATAATTTAAATAATAATAATAATGAATAATAATGACGGATCCATTCGAACTGATAAACCGACTCTGGATCAGAGACTCTAAAGTCCGTCAATCAAGACCCGCTGACCCGGTTAACTGGACCCTCTGATCCTCAGGTGGTTCTGGTCCACGCTGGATTAACGTCTCTGATCGCTCACATACGGGTCGGTCGTATGCAGGTCGCTCTGGAGGCGAAGAGCACGGTTCAGCCGGCTGTCGGTGAGTGACGATGACACTTCCTGTTTCCTCTTTACTCCTGATAACCACGAACCTTGGAGAGTATTTCGATAAACACGATGACTTTGGGGCGGTTTGTTAAAAAGTTCTCAAAGGTTTGGTGATAACCTTCACAGAGCAGCGAGGTTTTTATTATCCACGTGTTGTTTTGAATCTGTCTTTCATCTCAGCGTTTCATTTATTCTGGCGTCCGTCACGTATTCACGCTTTGAACGCCGCACATCGCAGCTTCACTCTCATCAGGCCTGAACTTCCTCCTTCAGCTGTGTGACGACCATGAGACCTAACAAACAGCTTTTCTCTTCACAAAGGTTACCATGGGAACAACATCAGTCCTTACACATGTTAGGTCCACTGACGAGGTCTTAGCAACAACCTCCTCTCAGCACCAAAGATGGCGTGACGACCACATCGGGGGTTTTCCTTCTCTCATCACCTCCTCTTATTTCTCTGGACTCTAACGAACCTCCTCCTCTCCTCTGTCTCTGTCAGTGTGTGGTGATGGCGTCTGTGAGGAGGCGGAGCTTTGTTCCACCTGTCCAGCTGACTGTGGCGACTGTCCCATGAGCCTCGCTACCAAGCTCGCCATCAGCGTCCCGCTCAGCCTGCTCTGCATCTGCATCATCCTGACAGCCGTGGTGAGAAAGTCGGATCAATAATAATAATAATAATAATATTAATAATAATAAACAATAATAATATGATTAATAATAATAATGATAATAATAATAACATTAATAATATTAATAATATTAATAATATAAATATTAATAATAATAAACAATAATAATATTATTATTAATAATAATGATAATAATAATAACATTAATAATATTAATAATAATAAACAATAATAATATTATTATTAATAATAATAATAATAATAACAGTAATAATATTAATAATATTAATATTAATAATATTAATAATAATAAACAATAATAATAATCTTAATATTAATAATAATAATAATAATAATATTAACAATAATAATAATAATAATGATAATAACAATGATAAAATTGATAAAATAATAATAATAATAAATTAATTTAAATAGTAATAATTGTTATTATTATTATAGATAAATTAAATTTACAATAATAATAATAATAATAATAATAATAATCAAGATTAAACCCCGTTGAAATGTTAGAAAACTCGCCCCTGCCCCTCGTACCCTCATCTCTTCGTTTCTGTGTTCAGTGGCTGAGGTACCAGAAACAGAAGCTGCTGTGGGACGAGAGCTGGATCATCGACTACTCCACCATCAAACAAGGTACTGGTGGGTGTCAAACTGGTTTTAAGGGGCTGAACAGATCTGAACCAGTCCTTACTGGTCCAAGCCAAGAAAGGACTGAAGCCAAAGACCCTAAACCAGCTTTAAGGGTTCAGAAACAGATCTGAAAAATAAAGAAAAAGTGGAAAAATGCCAAGAAGAGCCACAAATATCTGTGTTTAGTACTGGTCTGAAACCAGTTTGAGTCAGTCTGACCATACTGAGAGTCTGTGTTTCTAAACGTTACCTGGATGTTTATCTCTGACTGGTTTATGATCTTCTGTGTGATCCTCCTCCGTCTGCAGATCAGGAGGCTCGGACCACCATGGGCAGCATCATGAGCGTCCCGGTGGGAAACAGCGACAGTAACACCAGCTGTGTGACGGCGCTGAGCTCCTTTAACGGACAAACAGGAAGTCGGAAAATCCCCTTCACCAACACCGGGATCTAGTGGGTCTGATTAACAAAAACACGTTATCTATGAACAACTGTTTTATATCTGTGAACGACTGTTTTATATCTTTGAACGACTGTTTATATCTATGAACGACTGTTTTATATCTCTGAACGACTGTTTTATATCTGTGAACGACTGTTTTATATCAGTGAACGACTGTTTATATCTATGAACGACTGTTTTATATCTCTGAACGACTGTTTTATATCTGTGAACGACTGTTTTATATCTATGAACGACTGTTTTATATCAGTGAACGACTGTTTAATATCTGTGAACGACTGTTTTATATCTGTGAATGACTGTTTTATATCTATGAACGACTGTTTTATATCTATGAATGACTGTTTTATATCTATGAACGACTGTTTTATATCTATGAACGACTGTTTTATATCAGTGAACGACTGTTTTATATCTATGAACGACTGTTTTATATCTGTGAACGACTGTTTTATATCTATGAACGACTGTTTTATATCTGTGAACGACTGTTTTATATCTGTGAACGACTGTTTTATATCTGTGAACGACTGTTTTATATCTATGAACGACTGTTTTATATCTATGAATGACTGTTTTATATCAGTGAACGACTGTTTTATATCTGTGAACGACTGTTTTATATCTATGAACGACTGTTTTATATCTATGAATGACTGTTTTATATCAGTGAACGACTGTTTTATATCTATGAACGACTGTTTTATATCTGTGAATGACTGTTTTATATCTATGAACGACTGTTTTATATCTATGAACGACTGTTTTATATCTATGAACGACTGTTTTATATCAGTGAACGACTGTTTTATATCTGTGAACGACTGTTTTATATCTATGAACGACTGTTTTATATCTATGAACGACTGTTTTATATCTGTGAACGACTGTTTTATATCATGAACGACTGTTTTATATCTCTGAACGACTGTTTTTATCTGTGAATGACTGTTTTATATCTGTGAACGACTGTTTTATATCTGTGAACGACTGTTTTATATCTGTGAACGACTGTTTTATATCTATGAACGACTGTTTTATATCTATGAACGACTGTTTTATATCATGAACGACTGTTTTATATCTGTGAACGACTGTTTTATATCTGTGAACGACTGTTTTATATCTGTGAACGACTGTTTTATATCTGTGAACGACTGTTTTATATCATGAACAACTGTTTTATATCTGTGAACGACTGTTTTATATCTGTGAACGACTGTTTTTATCTGTGAACGACTGGTTTGGTCTGAGCTTCTTCTTCTTCTTGTTCTTGTTCTCTGATAAAAACTGATCCAGAACTCGGAGATTTTCTCAGCTCTCAGGTTTAGACCTTCTTTTCATGGAGAGATCTTCAGGTTCTCCAAAGTTCCTGGTGATCAGACCGTCATCCTGAACTAAAAAAAACTCTATTTTTGTTCCAGCGATGGTCGGACCGTCGCCATAAAGAGGATCCAGACCAAAACCTTCTCCTTGTCCAAGACCATCAGACAGGAAGTCAAACAGGTCAGGTAGGAAGTCTCCGCTCCTCATCTTCAGGTGACCATGATCATTTCACAGCCTGACCTTCTGCTGTCTTTGTCTTCAGAGAGTTGGACCACCCCAACCTCTGCAAGTTCATTGGTGGCTGTATTGAAGTGCCAAACGTTGCCATAGTAACGGAGTACTGCCCTAAAGGAAGTCTTAACGACGTCCTTCTTAATGAGGAAACTCCTCTGAACTGGGGCTTCAGGTACAAACACAACACCCCCCAAACCTTAAACCCTTGACCTGACCCTGATCCTGACCCTGACCTTCATCCTGACCCCGCCTCCACAGGTTCTCCTTCGCCACAGACATCGCCAGAGGGATGTCGTACCTCCACCAGCACAGGATCTGCCATGGCCGACTCAAGTCTCTGAACTGCGTCCTGGACGATCGTTGGGTCTGCAAAATAACAGGTCCGTGTTCTGAGCCGAACCGTCTCTGCAGGGAAACGGGTTTTTATTCTGAACTCGGATCAATGAGAATAGATAATCAATCAATCAATCAATCAATCAATCAGTCTTTGTTCATATTCACAACAAGTTTTATTCCTGGACAGACAGACTGGTCTAGACTGTCCTCTGTTAACAAAGACCCAACATAAAGACCGAACCGAACTGAACCCAGAATTGATCAATTCTTTGATAATAAAGACAGAAAGTCGTCAAAGTCTCGGTGTCAAAGTTTGACGTCGTCTCTGTTTGTCTCTGTTTGTCTCTGTTTGTGTCTCTGTTTGTCTCGTCTCTGTTCGTCTCTGTTTGTCTCTGTTTGTCTCTGTTTGTGTCTGTTTGTCTCTCTTCGTCTCTATTTGTCTCTGTTTGTGTCTGTTCGTCTCTGTTTGTCTCTGTTTGTTCGTCTCTGTTTGTCTCTGTTTGTCTCTGTTTGTGTTTGTTCGTCTCTGTTTGTCTCTCTTCATCTCATTAGACAGTAAACTTTCAGGTTTTGATTCACGTTGCGCTTTTGTGTTTTCAGATTATGGACTCAGGATGTACCGGAAGGATGAGGGGGCGGAGCCTCTTTCCACCTATCAGCAGAGACTCTTGGAGGTCTACATGCCGCCTGAGTTTCATAACTCCAACGTTGAGCCGACGTTAGCTGGAGACGTGTTCAGGTATCAGACATGACATCATGAGTGTTTCTAACCAATCAGAGCGCACCTCTGACTCACATGTTTGTTCTTTTATTTCTTTATTTTGTTTTTTGTTTGTTTTGTTGTTTCTGTCGATCGTCATTTTAATCTGTTTGTTGTTGAGATTAAAACGACGTTTATTCTCAGTCAATAATCCAGTTCATCTCCTCTCCCAGTTATTCCATCATCCTGCTGGAGATCGCCACTCGGAGTGACCCTGTTCCCGTAAGAACGTCTCACTCTCTCTCTCTCTCTTTCTCTCACTCTCTCTCTCTCTCTCTCTCTCTGTCTCACTC